TCTAAATTTTCCCTACTTCTTCTGTATGTTAGGTCACAATGCAGTTACCTTGAGGTGGCTGTTTTCATAGCTGACTCCACTTGTTTCCAGCATTTGCTAGAGTACCAGTACCTGAAAGATCTTTTGGGAGCAATGAAAGTAATAGTAAACAGTGACCAAGTTAAATTCCTTAAAGCCAAAGGTATCAGGATGAAAAGAAAGGAAAAAAGTATTTCTAATTTAGGCAGCAGCAAAATCATAGGTGATTGATTCTAAGATAATGACCCAGGGAGTTATGCATAGGCACCCAGATTCCCTTAAAGACAAACAAGAAACTCAGTAGACTGGCCCATAAAAACACTTCAGTGAGCGGAGCCCAGTTCCAACAAATAAAATACCATGATCACAGCAATGAGCCTAAAACCCCACCAAATGTACCAGGGTCAGTGTGGCATATTAAGTACGTCTATACAGGTTGGCTCTGTAAATTGGAATCCATTTCTGAATCAAGCTCTTAATCAACTGGGGCTTACTTTTCCAGAAACTCAGCTCATTGATGATACCTGACTTTTTTCAAAACAACTCACCAATTAGGCTATCTGTTCAAAACCATAAAAAAAAACACGCTTTTGTTCTCAGCCTGCACAAATTCAAATCTGTCCTTCCCATTTCCCAAATGTACATCCAAGTCACTACAGTGTGGGAAAGCTACTTACAGCAATTACAAAAATAAAGCCCAGAATATGTAAGCTTTGGATTAGAATGCTTTAGAAAACCTATTTGCATAGTTTCCAAAAATAGAGTCTCACAATAGACACTTTAAGCACTTCAGTCAGTTTTTTTTTTTCCGATGTCAGGAAATGGCACATTTAGACGAGTTAAAATCAATAGTGAATTCCTACAGATTTCAACTGGGACAGGTTATCACTGCAAAACAGTAATACCAAAGACAAAGAAATGATATACTGCATTTTCCTTTTATAACTGGATTAATTTGTACTTTGTTCATATTTTTAAATGTCATTTTTATATCCAGAAGGTCAGCTATCATTCTCGTACCCTTTGAGTAAGACAGCTGTGAAGGGGACTGATGAAAAAAGCCTGTAATTTTAATGAAGTTTCTGTTCTTGATTGGTTTTCCTCAAAGAATCTTGTTCATACAGAATATCTTCCAGCCAGGCCTGACTCCTATCTGTTAGCCCTGCAAGTATAGAAGATATTTATAACCCGTAACAATGATGTAAAAAAACATCTTTCTAATTAATAAAGTTTGACAGTTTTATTAATCTTTTTGCCATTTATTATGCTTTTATATTAGGCACCCACTTCTCATACTGTCTTCAGACTTGTTATTTATTTTGCAAAAACTGAAACTGTGATCTTCCTTCTCGAGAAACTTAACATTGACAATGCTGTAAACAGCAAGGAGGCCTTACTGCAGATTGAGGACAATTCCATAATGATTAGAACAGTGAATTATGGAAAAAGAAATTTTCTGAAGCAGTGATTTCGAAGAAAGTCATACAGAATTCAATTGGTGAAGTTGGCCGAGGTCTTTTTTGGGAAAGGAAAAAAATGTGATTAGAAGAGATTATCTACAATTAGTCTATATTTTCATTTCCAAAAATAGTTGACTGACATGATATGCTGATAAAGTCACAAGCTGAGTTGAAAAAACTAAAACTTTAAACCCATTCTCAGATGGCATGCAGTAAATAGCAGCATGACTGCTGCTCATTGCTTTTATTGCAAAGTGAAACGGCTTAATTCAAACTTTAGGCAAACTTGCACAAACTTCCATTGAATTAAAATGGAAATTACACATTTCCTTGCTGAATCTTTGCTGAACAACACACCAATAATTCCTTGCAAGAGAAGTGAGAAATTTATCAATGACAACACTTATACCATAGGCAATATTCTGAACTCCTATTGAAAAAAAAAAAAAAAGTGATCTGTACACTGCACAGAGAAAAGTTGCATAAAGACTTAAGAACCAAGTCTCAGCAGATCACTTTTTTTTTTTTTTTTTTTTTTTTTTTTACTGGATGCTGCATGCTCCCACAGTGCCCTGCTGGCTACAGTCATATCATTGCTTTGAACTTCCATGACAAGTAGACTCCAAAATCTCAAAGATAGCCTGTGTCTACAACAGCTTTGATCTTCTTTCTGCAGGTGGGTATACAAATGACCAGTGTGAGCTAAAGATTTGGCAAAGTTAATTGGGGCTGGAAATGTCAGAGAACACTATCTGCAGGACTTTTAGAGTTATCTCCATTTGATGGTTCTTGTGCAGTCTTGGACTGCAACACAAAGATTTGCCCGTTTAGGCTCTGATCCCCAAACATCAAAACACAGACATCAGATATTTCCCATGTAAGTGTACCACATATTTTGAAGTGGACAGATCTGTCTGAACCTGAAGCGATAGCAGAGGTGTACAATTATTAGACACTGCTGCAAGAAAACAGCTGTTAACTTTAGTTAGAATTAAACTGAGAGCTGAATAAGAACTAAAACTTTCATAAGTAAAACAAACTGTGCCAGTATTGTAGCTTAGCGAATTTGAAAAATAAGCCGTTCAAGTAGTATTACAGAACCCAAATCTGTGTTCCAATACACATACGTTTAAGCATTATCAAATAATAAACTGAATTCATAAAGTGAACAGCTATTTAATTTTAAAACATTTTGATATGATGCACTGAAAAATTTCAACAATTCCTTCAAAAGGCAACATGAAAACTACATTTTAATTGGCATAGTTCCTGCATTTTACCAAGGGCATAAACCAAATCACCACAAATGAAAAAAATTAATGTCGTCCTGTAAAAAACATCTAAATGCAGAATAAAATTAAGGGAAAATAAACTACTTAAATCCACACTGTTCTGCATAATAGCATAGAAATATATACTACAAAAAGCCTCACGAAGAAACATTTTTTTTTTTTCCTCAAATTTGATCTTATCTAACTTATGGGAACACTTCCAAAGAAAAATATATCCAATGTATTCATTTTTAGAACTAAAAACTAATCATAAATATATATTATTTCAAATATGCGTAAACAAAGATTTCCACCTAAATACAATAAAAATTGTCAATCAGAACATAATGCCTCTTAAACCCTTGGAGGAATCAATTTGACACTGTAAGGCAACTCCAGTTAATGCTCCTTAATTTACAAGGATTTTCATTGAAAGTTTAGGAAATGTTGATTTGTTAAAGATTTGAATTTTCAGCACTAGGAATCTGTTCTACAATATTACAATCTATTTTTATTAAAAAAAAAAATAATCAATCGGAACGATGTAGATTGACAATAAAAATAATTTTACCAATATCTGAAGATAGTTGGGACATTCTTTGAAACAATGAAAGATGATAATTACATGGTAAATGTCACACAGTGCAATAGAAACAAGTCAAAACAAACTTCACCCATCATTGAATTAATTAGAAAAAAAGTGAACAAAAGTCCTATGAATCGTTCCAGCAACCTCTGTGTAGTACAGTTCAGAAGGTTGTGTTTCAGCAGCATATGTACTTGTCACCCTCATTACAAATCTTCCTGTAAGAATATGACCTTTATTTAAGGTTATATGCTTGTGTTCCTAATTAGAGAAATTCACATTTTCTTTAACGACATGTGTAATGTGAGCTTTTAGCATTCTAGGTGCTGTTCTAAGCAAAGCGAAAATTTTGGTAATAGTGCCTGAACTCTGGTGATAAGTCACAAATCTACACAAGTGATTTTTTTTCAAAGCAAAATTCACCATGATTAAATAAACAGGGACCAAATCTCCACTGTCCTGCAAGATTTAAGGATAATTTACTTCTGTGCAAAGTCAGTACCACTAACGTACTATCAAGAGACAAGTTTTAATATTCCAGAACAGGCAACAGTGAGTTCAGATTGTGCCTAACAATAAAGACTTGGGCTGGAACTATGGTACTGCATTTAAAGTATGCATAAATTGCACACTGTAGCCTCTGTTTTAAAAAATAGCATAAGCATGATGACTCTGTGCTGCTTTACTCAGTGTACTTAGCTTGCTGGGGACAGTCTGTTATAATGATGTCTTCTTTTTGAGATATAAACGACACTCAAGTTGCTGCTACACAGCCTTCCACTGTGTCATGTGGCTCATCCAGAATTACTCAGTCAGCCATACGTTGCCAAGGAAGAATCTTTCAACTCTCCACCAGAAAGACCAATGTAGAATTTACATAATTAAAATAAAACACAATTGAATAGAAACCATAAGAACCTCTTAGTGTAAAAAAAACAAACAAAAAAGCCATACCACAAAAAACAAAGAACCGGGACATCTTGTATATTACTCCACACTGAGGTTTTATGCACATTTTCTTAACTTAATTTCAAGACCTGTAATATCCTCAAGAATTCAATCTTTATTTGAAACTACCTTGCTCTACCAAGCGTAGCAAGTTTTTTTCTGCAATGCCATAAAGTTTGCTTCTACAGTAAACAGAAGTTACTGAATTGTCTCACCTGCTTTGACAGGCCTTTTGTCAGCCCACTATCATTATCAAAATTCTGCAGATCTGTGGTGGGTACCTAAGAAGGATTCTAGAAGGACCCTAGATCTAAATTCCATATAGGAAAGGAACTCAAAGTAAGTCATCTCATATTCCTGATCTTTCTCTAGACTCTAACTAGTGATTTAACTAGCCTCTAACACAAAGCTATTTGAGAACTTGTTCTCTATTCTCACCACCAGAGAGAAGGATTTGCCAGAACTGTTACACATCCAACATATCTGGGTGGGACTTCAGTCAACGAAGGATATAATCTCTTAACTCAGCTCTCCATTTATTTTCTTCTGCCGGAACAATGCAAATGATACTGAATCAATCTTGATCTTTTTTGGGGGGCTGTTTTCTTCTAGGAATGTTTCCAGGAATGGGGAGAAAAGCAATCATTGAAGAGATTCGGTTAAACTAATGAGGGATGGATAGAAAGTTAATGGTCATCCCTGTACCTTCCAAATTACCTGTCACCCTGTATTTTGGAACGCAGCAGCCAGAGGCTCCATCCAGTATCTCACCTTCCTTTTTCATTTTCACTGATTCAGTAAAATGTGATCTGGGAAGAAAACATGAATGAACTCTGTTATCTCCCTCCAGTAATTTTTTCTTCCTTGGCAGGCCCATAAACTGGAATTTATTACTGATTTTCTCTCAAAAATACCCCCCAAGAGAAAGTCAAAAGGAGATTAAAAATTATTTGAAATTAATTACAACACTAATGAATAATACAAGTCTATACAAAATATCATATTATTATTACTATTCATATGATGTAGTAATTGGTGCTTTCATTTAAATAGTTAAGCATAAGTAAGGTGGGGTATAAGCCTGAAAATAGCAAATGGTACTATAATTACGCTTGTAAATCAATGTGGTAAACAATGCTAGATCTGAGTGATTTATTCTCTTTGTATTTCCCCATACTAACCATTTACAATCACTAATGCTACTTCCTTATCTTAGATAAATGTAAGCTTTCAATATGAAAACATTTTTGCAGAAGATATAGTATTGCATTCATGAGAAAGGTGGATTCATATTGCAAAATAAAAACAAAATGTATTTATTTTTATTTTCCTTGTGGAAAAGGAAGTGTTCACCAAGTGTTCTACCTTAGAAAATCTTCCTCTAAGTCCTTACATAATCCGCCTGTAGACACAGTGCCAAATGAAAACAGGTGGAGAAAAATATTTAGCTATCATCCATCAATCTCATAGGCCAAGTAAAGCAAAACACTCCAAAATCTTCACAAAAATAAAGAAAATAAGGACAATTGAATCAAATTTGCCTTACACTGAAGTATAACAAACTTCAAAAAAGTAGTAACAGGTCTCAGGAACCCAAATGTGCCTGTCTTCGTAGGAATCTAACATACAAAAACACCATAAAACCTTATGGAAAAATGACATTCATTTAAAAAAAAAAAAATTCTAGTCATTCACTCATTCTCTTGAGTTTCACTCTCACATTCTCTCATTTCTATTTCCATAAAAACCATAATTGGTGTGTATTTATGGTCAGGCCAAGATCCCTTGAATGCAGGATAAATGGTGGTTGATATTAAGACTTTGCTACATCTCTGTGGTTTCTTTTGATTTTTTGAGAATGATTTTTTTTTTTGGAGTAGCATTTAAACTTTTTTTACAAGTCAAATAATTACGTTACATTCTTTGGCCTCAGTATCTTGATGACTTCAATCTCTATTGTTTTGAGGCCATGCTATGGTCTACTCTTATTGTATTCTCATTTTAGATATCTTTATAAATAGTCTGTCTTCTTCCTGGGATAACAAGAAGGATGGATCCATGCAATGGGCTGCAACCATGTGTCTATTTTTGCTGTTATCAGAGATTTCAGTGACAATTGACCTCCATGTATAATTAATGAACATACAGATGTTATAATTACAAAATATAACAGAGAGTTTGGCTAAGCAGTTATTAAACCAAAAGAGAACAGATAGAATGCTTACCCATATCCTGGGCTCACTATGAAACTCCAGAGAAGGGAATCTCCAGAAAAGATCCTTCCCCACTGGTTGTCAACTCTTAAATGGGTCTAGGAGAGGTGGAGCCAGGCTCCACTCCTTCCAGCAGAACAGGTGAATTGCCTTCACCTGTGCTCCTGTGACTCATTGCTCACCTCAGGTGATCAATCAGAGGTTCAGGCTGTGATTCAGCATTTCTCATACGCTCCATTATGACATTACTGAAGCAGAAGCCTTCTAGTCTTGTGGCAAAAAATGAATTCCTTGATGTTTATTGGTTTTAATGCTATCAGTTAGCTTATTAACATAGGCTTTTTTTTTTTTTAACCTTTCTGTTGTTTCTTGTAGTGCTCATATTTCCATTCCCATTAAATGCTTGAATCTGAATATTTTTGTAACAAATCTCCACTGTTAACTTTTCTAAGTTGGTGGTGATAATATTCAAAACTGTGAATATAATATTATGTAAATTTCAAAAACAGGTAAGTAATTAGACAAAAAAAAAAAAAAAAGAGTAATCATCATCTTAACAGACATCTTCAAAGCACAGCAGTCGCCTTGTGCACATGAAAACCCAAACCTGACTGCCTTTAGAATCAAAAAGCTAAAAATATGCATTTTTTTTACTCAACTTCATACACTTACATTAAACATCACATGGTTCCCTCGTGCCACTTTGAGAATGTGAAATGAATGAATAAACAATTGAAAAGGCTCAGCACTGCCCAGAACAAAATATTCTGCTGTGTATAAAATTCAAACTTTAGTTAACTGATTAAAGAGAACCATTCTCCAAAGAAAATCCAAATCAGGTTACTTAAAGATATCAATCTATTTATTGACTTTAAAAAACAAACAATCAAAACTAGATATCTGGCTAATACTGTGGATGAAACTTCACTGATTTCACTGGTTTTAGTGAGACTAAATAATTTCTAAAGTCAGCAGAATCTGCAACACTACCATTTAATACCTTGACATTGCTCTCTTCATACAGTACAACTTAAAATCAAAAATTGCCCCATTTATAGCTGTGCCCAGGGCCAAGCTAAAGGAACAATGCAAGAATGAGCATTTTTATAGTAGCAAATATAGGCTTCTCCAAATAGCCTTAAAGTTGTATACTAGAGATGTTAAATTTCTGCTAGCTACATACACTGTCCATATGTGTTTGATTGATTTTACAAGAAAAAAAAGATAGCGTATCAAGTGAAAAATTATTTTTAAATCTATGAAAATGTTAGCCAGTACTTGTGTTTTCTTTTTCACTATTACCAAACATAGCAAATTAAAGGGAAAACAGTACTTCTCACATTTCATGTAAGTTTAGATTTGCTCAGAGGAGGAGATGCCTATCTTGTGCAAAGAGGAGCTGATGAATTAGACAACAAAACAATATTATATGTTTCACGTGGTCCTACTTTCAAGTTTCAACTTTGCAAGGATACTTGGGGAGAAAGAGAATGAGAGAACTGTGGTTTCTCTTAATTTCCTGTTGCTGCAAGGTCCAATACACAGCACTGTGCCTGGCAGAGACTGCTGCAGGGTGCTCATCCTTTATGTTTCTTATGTCTTTATGTAATTGCCAAGGATGCCTAGGGGTCAGCAAAGGTACTTCTTGACCTCATGTATGAATCTAAATAAATATACGGATCTCACAAGTCTATGACTTGGCACTCTCCTGAGAGCCTTGATGAAATGCATAATTTAGCATCATTCTGTCTGTGCGCATTTGTTTGCATTTTGCAGTATTGCAATCTAATTTAGTTATGAAGACCTGTACATATTAGAGAATATAGGATATCATAGAATATTATTTATACAGTGTCTCCATGTTGGTTACACTGGCCTACATCTACTGAGGTAAATGAGAAGTCTATGAGAAACATTAATGAGAATGCAATGAGAAGGTAGTGCCTCATGTTGTTTCTTATGATGAGACTATTGAAAATACGTTCCCCCAGAGCTTCTTATGCTCCTCCAGACAAGCAGAAAAACCAAATATGTGATATTTTCCTGAGCAAACTACATAATTTTTCTTTCAATATATTTCAAATTAGACACACAGATGTTTCTAGTCTTCAAATTAAGAAACAGATCTTGACTAAAGTACAAGTGGGATCTTGACAATTTGCTGTGCAGTGTTCATAGAAGAAACATCCAGCTGCAAAGCATTTTCAATCACAGACAAGAAGATAATTCTATATCCTACAAATCTATCTAACTTGACATAGTAAACATAACTCAGAAATTGATTTTGTAGAAAGAGTTCAGACTGTTTACACTATCTCTAGGCTATCTCTGTCACCACCAGGAAGTTATTCTTTATTGAAATATGCTGAAGTACTTGCATGGGAGAAAATGAAACATGCACCAGTCCTGTAATACAGTCAACATCATGTAGCTGGGTCAGTAGCCCAGACTGCTTTGTATGTGCGTTAAATTCAACAAAATGAAGACTAACATGCAGAAGTCTTAATGGTGACACAGTGTTGAAAAAATCAGGAATTTTGCATACATTTCCTTCTTTTCACTAGCATTTCATTTTTATTCAGCTATCCATCTCCCACAAGTGCTACTGACACATTTTCTGGTTCCAAAATTTCAGGCTAGCTCAGTGCAATAAATCTGTTGCACATATAACAGGTTTACAGACAAGAAAAATCATACAGAGCAAAGCTCTGACACAGTAAATACTGATGTCCAATTACTTTCTGTAGTAATCATTTGCTGCATACAGCAAATGCACAGCAATAAGCTTGAATACAAGTGTAAAAATTTCAGGGTAACCAATGGAAATTAAATATCTATTATCAACTGAGATAATAAAATTTTGTGCCTGGTTAGTTTAATATAGGTCAAAGAAACAAGCGAGAAAAGATAATTAAATGTTGTGGCAGTTTATTAAAAGGAAAAAGAAACCAAAATTCAGACAGCTTGTGGTTTTGAAGTTAGGTATTTCATAATGAGTGTCTTTCTTCTGGGGGCATATGCCCATGAGTATCACCTCAGTATTGCACAGTAAGGCCTAAAGCAATAAATGAAAGGAAAAATCAGTATAGGAAGAGACTGCAGCTAATAAATATTTGATCAGATACACAAATTCACAGAGTTTGATAATGCCCTAAGGAGTTTACCATCATTTATTAACTCCTGCAATGTAAATGCTATTATGTTTCTTCAGAAGCAGCAAGCCAATAAAGAGCTATTAATCTTTTCAATCAAATACATACATCTGAAATACTATAGTAAATACAGGGAGGTGCTTTGCAGATCTGGAGTTGTTCGTGGTCTTTTAAAAACGACAGTTTTAATATGGCAACAAAAGCACGTTTCAAAATGAAATTATTTTACAAAAATCTGTCCTATAGTAGAAAATATCAGCTGTCTGAATTGCCAGCACTTCTGGACACTTATCTTGATTAGTTAGATATTAAATACTACTTTAGCAGAATACACATAGCAATAGCATTCATTGAACTCTAGAGCATTTAGAAGAGGAGCATCACTCAGAATTAGATTGTATACTAGCAAACAAATGTTCATAATGATATCAACAACACTCTGGAATACTAAATCCTATGTTAACAAAAATTTTAAGTTTCTACTTGTGAAACTGTAGTATCACACAGTGTTCTAGCGCATCTTACATCTCGCTGTAAGGTAGCTGTCACACTGAAATCTATGAGCCTGCTAAGAGATAAGAAATTTCTTTGGCCATAAGAGAGCAACTCGGTGTTTTTGACATGAGACATAGCATTTCAGATAGACAGTGAAAGAACTATGGGTGTTAGGCAGCAAAGTGAATTTAAAGGAAATTTCTACTATTGTTTATTTGAAGTGGAAGAAAAAGATCTTACTCATTATTTTTAGGGTGGTTTAGAACTTAAGATTTTACATATTACCAAATGGAGCAACAGAGAGAATCTAGGGATGATTAATGTTTAAAAGTTGATGTTTCCTCATATTTTTAAAGGTGTTTGGTAGTCACACATAGTGATACCTGTTACCAGATCATGTCATATTTTATCGTTGGAGTTATTCCTTTATGGAAACTTCACATTAGCTAAAAAGAAAAATCTTTATACAGTCATGCAACAATAAGGATGGTGAGGCATTGGAACAGGCTGCCTAGAGAGGTGATGAGTGCCCTGTCCCTGGAGAAATCCAAGGTCAGACTGGATGGGGCTCTAAGTGTCTTGACTGAGTTGCAGGTGCCCCTGTCCACTGCAGGGGAGTTGGACTAGATAACCTTTAAAGGTACCTTCCAACTCAAATTATTATACGATTCTGTAAGTATTAGCAAAGGGGACGCTAAAGCTATTTTGTTTCATGCAAGGATGGCAAATATTATCTGGATTAGCAAATTGCAAATATTTTGAAATATTTCTATTCCTATTAAACTTGCGCTAAAAAATATGAGCACAAATGATGGTGTTAAATTCTCACAGTGATGGTATCTAATTCTCACAGACTCCTGCTGATATTCATTTTGGTCAGGTTGGAGTGCAGGTAATAGATGATATATTTGGAACTACTTTTCCTCCATTTTAAATACAGTCTTCATATTCTTTTCTGGGACTGAATGTTTTGCAGTCAGATTCCACAGAATCTGTACTTGGCCTCATAAATATGCTGGAGTTCATGATTATTGACCTGCAGATATTAAGGAATCTTTCTTGATTAGTAACCTCAAGTATGAAGAGGAATGATTCAAATTTTGAAATAATATTGTAAAGAGAATCAATTCAAGCTGGTTAATAGGATTAGCATTTTATCAGTTACCTATGAATATTATACAAATAGAATACCTACGTCTATTTCATTTTTCCCCAAAGTATAAATTACATAAATACCTCATCCTATATTGAAGGTTAATTCCTGAGTTTCTCAAAAGCACAGGAAAGATATTGACAGAAACTTTTATAGGCATTTTTGTGAGTAAAAAATTCAGGTCCTCTGAATTTCAATATCTACTGCTTATTCCTTTTCATCTCAGTAAAAATTCCTTTAGAA